ATTCAGGCATGAGACTGTTTTCTGCTGCTCGAACTAATTTTTAGTTTTCTCATTTAATGAATGTGACCGACCATGAATCTCTTTCCTTAACCACAATTGGCACTCTCTCTTGAACAGATTAAATGTGGAAAAAGTGAGCCTTCTGTTATAATAAATTGGTTTACAACTTTTTTCAATGATTTGTTAGTAGAAAAAATGTAGTGCTCATGTAATCTCTACAAATGTATTGTTATTCTTTAGATCATTATAAAATAACAAACCATCATTCAGTCTATCGCAATCAGATTCCAGTCATTATTTATGAAATGATATAATGACCTGATATAATGAATTATTATTTGTTTATTTTCTCAGAATCGTGAAAATATTATTCATTATATTACTCGCAGAGGTTGGATATTACATAAGGAATCGAATGGTAACATGTTCTTTTTAGATTTAGGGGTTTTAGAATTGAAAAATATTATGCACTTTATCTCTTTTGCGTTCAAAGTTTACTCCAGTCCGCAAGTAGAACTCATATATACGATCCATTGCTAAATATGCTAGGAAAATGGCCGGCTCGTTCTCTCACTCCAGGCTGTAATTAAATCTTTTAATTATGATCTATCTTTACATGTGTCAGATAAGAACATAAACCGAATATTACACTCAACTTGGTTTGCAGCTGCCCAGTTCTCACTTTCCATCTTTGATAAAGTCTCAATTTTTACGCAGTCTTGTCTGCTACTTCCTTCTTATACGCAACATCATAAAGTCGATAGCAGTTTCCATGGCAAATGTTCAAATACGACCTATTGTTTTTTTTTTCATTTCAAGAATTAACAGCTAACACGGGATGCACTTTGTTACATCCACACTTTCGAAGCAGTCGCATTTGGTCTGTATTCTAATTCTAATAAAGTTCCACTCAGATAGCTTTTTTCCCAAGAGCTGTTCCTTTGTGGAACAGACTCCTGTCTCGATGCCTCTTTAAACACTATAATTTTAATCTCTTCAAATCAAGAGACAATCGTTTTTGATCTTCCTTATTCTCATAAACGATACTTCCTGTTACCTCTTCTTACATTCATATCATGCTCCTCATTCAGTAACAGTCTACTTTGAGTGATTATCGAGATGTACATTGGGTGAACTTTAGTAAAATAAATATAAATAGTTTGAGAAACATTTTTTTTATTGATAGAAAATAGTTTTGTGTTCGTGTTATCTCTTCATGTATTATATCTAGGTTTATGATATGGTATGCTATCAATAAAGTTTTGAAGGGCTTGGCCCAAATAACTCCTATTCCTATTTTAGTATATCTTGCCTTTGTGTTTATCTGGAAAAGTAGGCGAGTGTTTGGAAAATGGAATGATAGTCTTTTTGTTGTTCGATCGATTTTCTAATCGAAATACACCAGTTTTAACCGGTCTAGTGACCGTGTCATTTTTGTTTCATTCTTTTGAATCGAGAACCACTTGTCACATCGTTTGATAATTGGAAAATGGCCAAAATAGGCTAGGAATAATTTTTTTTTTATGGTACCGTTTCTAAGAGACACAAATTTACCATGATGCATGATTTCGCTTTGGGTTTGAATTCTACATAGTGCCTTTGATTCGTTATATTTTGAAAGAAGCTGGTTCTTGGCGAAGAATTCAAAGTTAGTTCAAACCATTAACCCGATGAAATAAAATATAACCCACATTAATTTAATCTTATTTGGTAGAGATAATAATATTAATGGAATCTCTTATGTTGTCAGTTTGATGGGTGATGTTGGTACAGATTTTAGCTATCTGGGAAAGTTCTCTATGAGCCCATTTGAGGAGAGGGATATGCTGTTGCATATAACGAAATCCCAAATGTTTCATTAATTCATGCGTTCAGTGAAATTGGTTACTGCTAACGTAATTATACATGAGATGATGAAAGTTGGAATCAATTTCTCATAAAATTATTGATTATATGATTTACTTTGGTTTCTTTGGAGGGTAATAATCCTCTGACGCTATTAGAAATTTTAGTAGAAAAATATAAATATTTGCTTTCGGTAACAGGATTTATTTATAAATACATTTACCGAAATATATATTTATATATTGTATATATTTATAACTCTACTATTTGTCCTTGCTTTGAATATTGCTGCTACATCTAGTGCGATGCTCTTGCTATATATTTAAAGACTCTTGATGAAATCCAAAGAAGAATTTACAATGTTATTGGTTCTGACCTGGCATTTCAGCTTTAGTCTAATTCACACCGCCGTAACATAGCTTCCCACTGCCTTTTCTATAAATACTTTGGTGATAATTGTACTGATGTACCTTCCTCTATCGTACCTAGATTTTATGAAATTAAGCACAGAACTAGATTAGTGATAATGTCTCATCAATTTACAGTAAATATGTCTAGATTCTAAAAGTTTGTTCTATAGTACATCTTGCTTGTGGAATTCTCTTCTGCATTCTTGTTTTCTAGTCAACTTTGTTCTTCAAACATTTAAATGCAATATCAATCGCTATCTTCTGTCTTTGTAATTCTTATTCTATTATTATCGCCTGTCATTAATAGTAGTTTTGTTCTCATATTCTCTAACCTCCTGGATCCTCGTGGATTTCTTGTCTTGTGTGAGGTCAAATGATTAATAAAAAAGTAACAGAACATCTCTGTGCAGTTAGTGAAGCTAACATCTGATGACTAAAATTGAGCATAACTTGTATAAGTGGACATCTTTTGTCTATGTCAGTATTTTTAATGTTAGCAAGAATGTTTATGTAGACAAATGTTTAGAAATTATCCTTACAGTTGCACGTTTACCATGTGAAGTGATAAAATAATTATTTTCTTTTACATAAGGTCGCTAATAATATGCGGTAACATCACAAATAATTACGTTTTGACTGATAGTCAAGCGTTGTTCAACTAGTTGAAGAGAAGTGTCTGAATCTACGTTTCTTTTTTAAGTTCCCTTTTCTTACTCTGCTACAATAATTTTGAAATTGAATGGAATCAGTTAAGAAGAAGTGAAGTTGGCCCTAGAAATTGTATTGGCAAACATAAATTTTCCTCTCATGTGCTATATATACGTAATGAGCTGGAATATATAAACTGTTTCATATCTGTTTGTTTCTACTTATATGAATTCAAATGTAAATTAAGCGGCCTTTGGTCAGAAAGTACGTACAAACGTTGTTGTTCTAAAATCTAACTGGAAGATGCAGAGGAAGCCATTATCTTTACAGTTCACTGTATTTCTGTCGACGATTATTGAAATTTACTGAGAAAAAGGAGATTTATTTTTATTAGATTTTCCTTTACTTGATTGATGACAATTCTAATTGTTGTAGAAGAAACGTCAGTTGTTGATGTCAATTTTACGATGATACTGTCATCGATGTAAGATAATTTAATGATTTAGACTCATGCCTCTTTCGTCTTGTTAAAAGCTTTCAGAGTTCCTTTTTTGTGAAGATTCTGGCTCAATTTTTATTTCGTTTCTTAGTGAGCTGACAAGTTTCGATCATCCAGGAATTAATCTTCTTTACGAATTAATTAATACCCCAAAGCAACCAAACTGTCTAAAAAGAAATTGGAATCGGAAAATTCTGAGTCGCAAATACTTTTACTGGAATTCAGGTTATTCTGTGTTAATCAATTTTCTGACCAAGGAACGTCAATTAGTACACTTAGCATAAAGATATGTTAAAATTTTTCTTCAAGCAGTAGGGTGTCAGCTGTTTTAAGACTTGTTTAATATGGTCGATATGTTTATGTTCCTTTCTGCCACTTATTACAACATTATGTGAACGATAGACTAAGAAAATCCTAGATCGATTAGTCGATGGAACGTCTACACTGTGTCTTGAAATCGAATGGCATCCACATAAAATTGTATAATCCGAATGTGTAGCCATGCCTTTTCAAGTTTATTTAGTATATTTTTGTGCCGTTGAAGTTGATTGCGTAGTAGTGAACATGGGTAATTGGAAGTCGGTTATTTTAATTAATATTATGCGAGTTCTGTCATATAAAATTTCTACATAGGCACCACTTATTAGTATCTTGGTTAGGGATGTGGAGTGGAGAAGATCATTGCCTTTTCCAGGGCCTGGTTATTCCAGAATCAAGTGATTATTTGAAGTCTTCTTTCGTTCGTTTTATTTGTTATGTTGCAATAGATTTGTCGTTGAGCGCGTAGACATACATTGGACGTGCACCGGGTGTCCTGTTGTATGATCAAATGTGATTACTGTCATAAATTTCTCCGATAGGATTACTTATTTTAAAAATATTTGTCTTCCAGATTTAATTTAGGACTAGATAAAGTATATCTATTTCTAATACTGATATATTTTATTGACCGATAAACATTAAAATCCCAATTTCTACGTCGGTAATTTGTCACGGTAGGTATTCATTTTTATGTCATTCATGACTTGGAATGGGTAAACTGAAGTTTGAATTTTTTATTGTTAATGGAATTACATTTATTGCTAATACAGTGTCGATTAATTATTCGTATCCGAAATGGTAGCGCCCTAGGCGTAGACTACAAGATATTTGAAGTACTAATCAAGAATCGCTGTCACTGATCTGGAAATCCGGTGTTCAACAATGTTTTCTGCGTAACAGGGTTCTCAGTTTTTTTTTGTTTTTTTTTTTTAATTTTGTCCTAGCTATGTATTGTTGAAAAGATAATACAACGTTTTCTTTTTTTGACTTTCCTGTTTGATTTAGAATGAAGGTGTCAAACGCGTTTAACTTGAGCATGTCATTTAATTGATATGTTGTGTCTGTAGCTGTTTTGTTTGGCAGTTTTCTTAAATATTTCTATCTTAACTTTTGACGTTAAATATTGTATATAACCGCGCAGACCTGGACTAGATGATTCTGTTTTTATCAGAAAGTAAGCTTAAGGATATTATAATGCTTCAGTCTCATCAGCAGTGTTGTTGGTCTTCTTTCACATACTCTGGGCTTGTAAAATAGTTCATTTATTTACTTAGACTTACGGCTACATTAGGTCGAAACATTGGTTCCCGTACAATCACCGAAGTTAAGCAACGTCGAGCCTGGTCAGTACCGAGATGGGTGACCGCTTGGGAATACCAGGTGCTGTTAAGTTGGATATGAGGCTGGTGTAATGGATAACATTTCGGACTTTTTAATCGGAGACACGAGTTCTAGTAACAATCAGGTTTCGTATAATCCCTCACACGCAAATACCCTTGGGAAAGGTATGAATCCCCCCTCCTTTCTCCACCCAAATATGAATTAATTAGTAAGACTTTCAACACTCAAACCATTATTATCTAAAACAAATTATTAAATCAAAAATATTTTTTGGCTTTAAATAACCTCTAAATGTTTTGTAAGCCATAGAAAACGAATCAATCCATCAAATTCAATATTTTTGTACGTGTGTCTTTCTGGGATTGCTTACTATGAGAATTGACACTTATAGATGCCATCCTGTTTTAATGTTAGATGACGTTTAATAAACAGATAATTAAGCATATTATCTAAAAAAAAAAAGATTAAATAAATGTGTTTTGAGTCAGAGTGATGAAATAAAAAATATTCCAGTGTTGGAAATTTGGAAAAGACTAAGTGAAATTGTTCGAATTATTAATGAAGTTGTAAATCTATTTTCTTTTACGTTGCAAAGAACTGAGAGCCACATTAATGTATGGGAATAATATTTTAAACGATAGGTATAGATTCAAAGTTTCAACAACAAAATATTAATCTTCATATATGTATTTGTCTGTTGCGCAATAAATGTGTCTTCCATTTACATCTCATTTTGCATAAGAAAAATGGTGATGGAAAAGTAACTGGAGTATCTGGAATTCGCAAAATCTGCTAAAATGTTTACTTTATCCTCCATTCGGTATCTGATCTGCGATTGACTCGAATGGAATTTTCCGGCCTCATTTGTATCAATCTGGAGGTTTCAAAATACCTTGAATCTTAAATAAATTTGATTGGATAAAAAATATTTCAATTCGGTCACGTGACACTTTTATACTCTATTTTGAATGGCTTTTCAGCTTTGATATTTAATACTTTTAACAGATTCGAAATCTACTTAATGGAGAAGTTGACGTTCACTTGGGTAGAACGTGCAGGAAAGAAATGTGTTTTTTATTCTATAAGTTTAGAAAGATTAACAATATATTTCTTTATTCGGAGTGAAATTATTTTTTCTCCCATGATTACAATAAATGTCATATTATTTGGGTATCAAACTATCACTCTCAGATTTATGAGGTTATTGATGTATATTGTTATAATTTAGATATTTTTAAAGCGTGAAACATTAATCAATCTATCGCACGGTATAGAAAATTCGATTTTAAATTTACTACTAGCTGAAGTCGTACATTGATGATATATCCTGAGAGCATGTGTTATAATTAAAAAAATATTTCATCCATTACATGGCCCAAGGATCCCTTAAGGTATACGGTTACTAAATGATGCTATTGATGAGGAATTAGGCTTCATAGATTTTCCTTGTGTCGGAAGCATAATGCCTGATCAGGCAGCCTTTCGTGTTGGATGACTATGGGGCATATTGTGTACAGAGTTTAACAAACACTGCTCTGGTAAGAGTTGATATTTCCTACTCCTATACCTTACAGGGTATCTGTACTCCCATCACACTAAATACATACCTATAGAACACGGATATTGTGCTACTTTAATAGAATTGATCTTCATTTTGTCCATTGTTCGTAGCTATTCATGCGAAATTTGAATTAGAAACTTTTTTCACGTTCATTTCTGTCATATCTTGATGTCACTTTGAAGTCTACAAAAAAAGAATTAATGAATAACTGCAATATTCGCATATTGTATACAATGGAAAAGATGCACATACACCGGTACTCACACAGAATACATACATATACACACATATGTACGTCGGTTTGTGTTTGTGTGTTTGTATGTGTGCGAACATACATTTTACTTATAATTTTTGAATGCTGACTTAAAGCTTGGGTTTAGTATACGTACTTCTATTGAAATGCATTTTTTTTTAATCTGGCTATCCATAACGTTACAGTATTTAACACACGAAATTCTTTTTTTCAAAGCAAGAAATATATTTCCTTCTTGTGTAATGTAAAAAAGATATGAAAAATCACCACGGAGACTTAGGAAACACTGTTTAATGTGAGAAAGACTCGTCTCTTCAAATTCGTCTAACATTTCGTGTATGTTAAAGCATAGGTGCATACATTTTTTCTTTGCGATATTTTATAGAGTAATATAAGTTTCTTCATAAGTTTTTTTCATAAGTTTCTAAGTTTCTTCAAAGAACATGCTGCTCTATTGCACAACATTTAAAAACACATTCCTGTTAACGTTCACAATACAAGAAAATACTTTTCGACAACACCAATATACTACACCACGAAAATAATAAACAAAACTTTAAACTCTCAAAAGCAGCCAAGCAACACTCAGCAAAATTTATTATGAGTTTAGCAACAATGTAGTGAAGTGTATTTAGCAAGAATTTAATGTGCATTTTGTATTTCAACCAATTTCTGGTCAGCTCCCTTATAGTGAAACGCTATTTTGCGAGAATTCCATAGCTACAACGCGTGCATTTAACAGAACGCGTTCACACGTGTTTGTTTTTTAAATCACCATCACAACAATCACAGTTACAGTAAACTTGTCCTTTGTAATTAACCCATGAGAATGATCTTGGAGGAAATCGAAAGTACTTGGGTAAGAAAAACTACGGTGCTTCACTTGTTTAATTTCATTTTAATATCAAGAAACTGATTAAAGAACTAGAAAGGATTATTCTAAAAAATAAATAGACATAATATATTATTCAAAGAATCATGCCTCAACATATATATATATATATATATATATATATATATATATATATATATATATATATATATATATATATATATATATGCAATGTATGGTATCGCATTACAAATATCTATTTATGTAAAATTGCTGACAACAATTTTATCAACAATTTGTGTGTATCCATATCAAGTTATTCACACGTACTTCACGAATAGACTTTGCAAATGCTTTTTCACCGACACAAGATATGAATGTATATATTTATATCATGATCCACGTATCTGTGTGTGTTTTATAAGTGTATCAATGTTTGAATATTATTTTTCTATATAGCGGTAGTGTTTTAAAATTTGAACCGTTTCCAGTCTGTGTATAGTCTGAGTAAAGTTGTATTAAAAAGAACTACTAAAATAGAGAAATTAAATACTTATCAAAATTAATAATGATAATACCAATAGCAATTGCCTATTTCCAAGTCAGAAGGAACGGATGAAAAAAGAAGTCTGAAATCGACTTACATCAAAAGTTTATGTGAGTTTGACAACATGTCCAAATCATGTATCACTGCGTGAGAATCGAAAGCAATTCAATAATATGTCGATGAGACTAAACTGTTAACCGTCTCTCCACGGCGAGAGGCCGATGTGGGAGACGTAAATAAGAATACGCAGTAAACGCTCAGTGATGCCACCATCTTTTCCTCTGAAGTTGGAATCTTGGCTTTCGTAACTATAAAAATCTTAATATCTGAATCTCCTAGGGGTTAAATATATACAGACAAATTAATCTAAATCCGAACCTCAACTGCATCTACTTCTTATATAGAGTGAAATAAATATGTTGTATACAGTGGAAAAGTTTTAAAGATTTTGGAGAGTAAATGATCATCACACACGCGTGTGTGGAGTGTCGGGGGGGTGCAATAAAGAAATATATTTATTAATTAAACCCTGTAAATCTTGACTACAGATATCACAGATTCTTGATGTAATCGTATGGCAGTAAAATAAATATACAACGGCATGGAAATAACAAACAAGTTTGATCGAGAAATCATGCGATATATGTGACGAAATATTCTTATGAGGCATATGTTCTCAGATCTGTCACCCTGAGGCAATCACTTTCTTTTAAATCAATGTAAGTCACATCGGTCAGCCGTTCCAAGGTATAAGTCATTATTCAAAGATTTCACCAAGTTCAAATGAAATCGACATAAAATGTCGAAATGCAAACAATAGAGACCACCAAAAAACCTTATGATTAAACAATGATGCTATGAATTATAGTGAAATTCAAACACTGATGGAATATTTTCATCAACTATCTATCTATCTATCTCATGGTTTTTACTGTTCAATATCTGTTCCTTTTCAACTATCAGTCTGTCAAAACTGTCACTTCAATTTATAGTCACCTAACTACTTGCCGTCTTTAAAGTTTCCTGAGATTCTGAAGAAACCAATAAAGTGTAATAATATCCCCCAGGGCAATTATTTATCGAAAAGGGAAGACAGGAAATTGAAGATGTGTGGACAGAATAACTATCATGCAGAAAGTTAATGATGAAACGGATTGTCTACAAGCAATACTCTTTCTATGTATTCCGTTCAACGGACAATAACATTTCAGACACTCGACGTATGAGTAGATAAAAGATCACTTTAACTCGTTCAGGGAATTAGCTTCTTGCCCTGAGCGACAATTTCCTAGAGCGCCACAAATATGTGATGTGTTGAAAACCTGGAATTAGCTTATCAAAACAAATAATAGACCACAACCCCACCCAGAAACCAAACACACATGTGCAATTTTCATTGATTATTACCATGTCAGTAAATATTTGATTTTTAACAGAAGGAATAGTTATCTTGAGGCAAAAACTGTCCTAAACTCAGGAGAAAAGATATATACAGTCTTTAAAATGTTTTGCCTTTTATCTTGAATTGCATTCTACAAATATATTTTGTCTTTTAGATATTTCCATATTTTTTTTTTACATTTAAGCACAATAATGTTTTAATGAATTAATGATATTTTCGTACGTTAACTTTATGTCGACATTCTGTATACGAAATTTTGATTTCATTTCTGATTTATTTTTTGTTCCATTCATTTTTCTGGGGATTCTCCTCAGTATCCTTCCTTTGGCATTTTATCGCAATTTTCATTTCAATTTTTATTCTTCGATCTTTAGGGAAAACGTAGGACAATGAAATGAAGATTTCAGTAAATTTTCTGATGCCATTCGATTTCGTTTCCATTATTGTCCCTA